GGGGGGGGGGGGCAAAGCTTTTTAAATGGAGGCAGGAGGCTGATCTACATCTCGTTGATCCAGTCCATGAAGGCGTCGCAGGCAGAGCTGCAGGACGACGGATCTCCTGCAAACACACAGAAATCAGCAGATACAGAGCATTAGCATCCCCTAGCATCCCCTAAGGGAGCATTAGCATCCCCTAAGGGAGCATTAGCATGCCCTAGCATCCCCTATGGGAGCATTAGCATCCCCTAAGAGAGCATTAGCATCCCCTAACATCCCCTAGGGGGCATTAGCATCCCCTAAGAGAGCATTAGCATCCCCTAGAGGACCATTAACATCCCTTAACATCCCCTAGGGGAACAATAGCATCCCCTAGCATCCCCTATGGGAGCATTAGCATCCTCTAGGAGAGCATTAGCATCCCCTAACATCCCCTAGGGGGCATTAGCATCCCCTAGGAGAGCATTAGCATGCCTTAGCATCCCCTAAGGGAGCATTAGCATCCCCTAGGGCAGCATTAGCATCCCCTAGGGGAGCATTAGCATCCCCTAACATCCCCTAGAGGAGCATTAGCATCCCCTAAGGGACCATTAGTATGCCCTAGCATCCCCTTGTATCCCCTAGGAGAACATTAGCATCCCCTAAAGGAGCATTAGCATCCCCTAACATTCCCTAGGGGAGCATTAGCATCGCATAGCCCACAGGTCTGTGTCCTAACCATTAAGTTGTTATCAGAGCATTAGCATTAGCATTAGCATCTGTAACCACAGGTCTGTGTCCTAACCATAAAGTTGTTATCAGAGTAAATCCCTGTTCAACATGAGTCTGACAGCTAACTAAGTAGATAAATAACTTTAGACTTTAACACATGCTCTGATAGGCCGGGATCGAAAAAAAGATTGAGATCTGCTTACAAACTATTTCCTGCGCGTTGATTTCCGAATATGAACGCGAAGCTATGCAGAAATATTCAGATTTAGTCTGCTGGACAGAACAGTGATCCTCAAGTTTAGTTTTTCTGACAACTACTAAATGCAAATACTCCAACCTGAGCCACAATCTGTGGCTTTGTTTAACTAAGACAGAACAGAACCAATCAGGTTTACTTTTGGTAGCTAACAGCTTTTCAGACCTGTTAGCCTCTTGTTAAGAGTGTTAGCTACCGTTAGCCTCTTATTAGAGTTGTTGGCTAACACCAGATTCCCCTGAGTTTGAGTTTCAAACCCTGGAATAATCCCTCATCTCGGAGACACTTACTGGGAAGTTCCTCCGGCCAGAAGCGTCCCGGGGCGGGCGGCTGGGGGGCGTGGCCTATGGAAGGGGCGTGGCCTGTGGGAGGGGCGTGGCCTATGGAAGGGGCGTGGCCTGTGAGGGGGGCGTGGCCTGTGGGGGGCGGGGTCTTCTCCGGGCCGACGGTGGAGGGGAACGGGCCGTTCACCCCCCCCACGGGGGGGCGCCCGGAGGCCGGGGAAGAGCTGGAGGCGGGCCCGTTGCCGCGGCAACAGGCGTCGCAGGGCGCCGCGGCAACGGACGGGCCGCGGGGGAAGCGGGCGGCGGGCGGGGCGCCGTAGCGCCGCTGAGCACCGCTGTGGAGGTCAGACCGACGCCGCGCCCACGCAGGGTGGCACGAAACGATCGCCATAACCTGGAAGAGGGGGGGTGGGGTTAGAGCAGTGCTTCTCAAATAGTGGGGTGCGCCCCCCTTGGGGGGCGTGGTGCGATACCTGGGGGGGCGCGTGTGACCCTGGGGAACAGCCTTTTTTTTTTGGGACGTACTAGTATAAAGTGTAATTGCGCCTCCACTCCAGTAGGGGCAGTGGCGCTCTCATCGTTATTCAGTGCAACATTTTACGACTTAAAAGACAACAGGTTAGCCTCGGTTAGCTCCGACTGTCTGTAGCCTCCATTATTCAACATAACAACCCCCAACATGAAAAAGTTTTTAACAGATGAAAAGAAAAGCAGAGAGAGACAAAGATAACGAGACAAAAGAAAGTCACCCAAAAGCTAAGTGTTTTATATATTAGGTAATGTTGCTTAACTGAATATAAATTAGTTATCATTTTTGTAGTTTTTGTAGTTTATTAGTTATTATAATTATTCAATATTATTTATTGATTTTTATTTAATTTTGCAATGGTGCAATTAGTTGGTCAAACACGTTTACAGTTTTAACAAGGATTTATTTATTTTTAATTTCAGGCATTGATGCACTTAAAATCTTTTCTGTTGCAGACTTAAAACACAATTGAATAAAGTTGTAAGTTTGACCATATGTCTTTCTTTTTTTTGTTTTCTTTAATGTTAATAAGGATAAAATATCATGTAGAGATGGATAGTGACGGTGGGGAGTGGGGGGGCGCGAAAATGTTTTTTCTTGTTAGGGGGGGTGTAACAGAAAATAATTGAGAAGCACTGGGTTAGAGGAAGCCAAGGACGGATATTAGGGATGCAAACGGTTAATCGACTTTAGATTAATTGTCGATCAAGAGGTTGCTCGATCAAAATGTATTAATCACGATTAACCGCTAGCGCTTTACTGTAACTTGAACACAGCGTGAGAACGAGAGAGAGACCAGGGTCGAAAACAAAATGAAGCGGGCGAAAAGAAGTGCGGTGTGTGACCACTTCAATATTGTTAATTCAGGCAAAGAAGGTTGTCATAGCGACTGTCCGCGACCACAAAAACAAGAACGTTGGGGCGTTAGCCAGCTAGCTCGCTAGCATAGCCACCTGTCCGTTAGCATTAGCATCAGCCGGAGAGATGATAGCGCTATCATGCAAGAACTGAGCCAGGGTTTTCTTTTAATTAAAGATTTTGTTTTACCTTAAAAACGTGTCTGCTTTCTTCTCCTAATGCATAATTACTTGAGGAATGTATAATATAATACAATATAATTATGGTATCATAATGTTGGCTAATGTAATATAATACCTCAATTATATTAAGGCCCTATTGAAGCCCTGAAACTCAGGTGAAAAACGCCGCTTATCAATTAATCGAAAGTCGATCGATAAGATAATCAACTAACGATTAATGAATTAATCGATAATTTGCATCCCTAACGGATATACAACTCCGCCCACATCCAAGTTTCTTTAATAAAGTTTAGTTTAGTTATTTATTTACGTTGTTTGTGATCATTAACTCATTGGCTGCCAAAGAAAAAAACGGGTCCTAAAGGAGGCGGACGGACAGGAAGCAGGAGTTTGGTCCCGTCTGGGGGGGGGGGGGTCACTAAAAGGTGTACTGGCCCTTTAAATGGCTTTAGAGCTCTTTTCCCCCAAAGGGGCATTGTGGCTCCTCTTTCCTGGTTCCTCTGTAGCTGAACTTTTAACTCATTGGCTGCCAAAGACGTCTATAGAGGTCTTTTATGTTTTTAACGAGAGTGTCTGGGGGACGATCTGCTAAAGCTTGTCCGTAAATATGGGCTTCTAGACAGAGTATGTAGTAACAAATTGAGCCTCTAGGGGGCAGTGCCACTTTTGATGGGAGATGAGCATAGACTGTAGGCAAATAAGAAAAAGGGAACGGTTCTATGAGAGAACATGTCGCCGGTGAGACGCAAGTCCAGGAAGAACGGAATAAGGTAGAAACACATTTTTTTTCCTGATGAAAGAAGAGAGTCTACTCTTTCTTTTGGTGTGTTCGCTGTTTACATAGTCATAGCACAAACTATTCTGTGGCTCTAGAAAAATCAGTCAAAATGCTCAAAAAACTCTGGCAGTATGGGACTCTGTTCTGAAAATGGCTGCCAGTCAATGAGTTAACGATCCCCACCCCTAGTGGGCGGGGCCTAACCAGGTGGGTGGGGCTTATATAGTGGGGGGCGGGGCCTATATTGTGGGCAGGGCCTATATTATGGGCGTGGCCTCTACTATGGGCGAAGCCTAGCTGTGGGCGGGGC